ACGGCACACCTGACCGGAAGAATAAGAAAAACCAGGTGGGGAATACATATATACTTCTTCATGCAAGTCCCCATGCAAGAAAGCATTATCTACATCCATCCGATGTAATTCCCCGTGCCGAGATGCCGCAACTGCAAGTATAGTACGTATCGTGACCATTCTAGCCACTGGTGCGAACGTCTCATGATAATCGATGCCTTTAGTTTGTTGATTGCCGCATATGACAAGACGAGCCTTGTACCGTTCTATGGAGCCATCATTCTTATATGTGATCTTAAACACCCATTTGCAATGAATAGCTTTCTTGTCAATGGGTAATTTTTGAACGGTCCACGTCCCGTTTTTCTCTGGAGCATCAATTTCTCGTTTCATGGCCTCCCTCCATCTCGTTTCATGTGTCAAAATTGCTACTAGAAACACCCTATGCTGCACTGAAACATGATTATAATTGATATAACAAGATAATGAATATGGACTACATGGGGTGACCAACGGAGTAGGGTCAGCCTGAGGGGGGCTGTATCCATAATGTTAAGCCGAACAAAATCGTCATGCCAAGATGGTGCATGACGTTGTCAAGTACTACAACGTAAAACTGGCCCTTGAGTTATAACAGGTGTATCTGTGGAACCCACTTGTACCTATGCATCCTGTGTGACATCCGTCACATGTGTGGCCTCATGAGTTCATGTGTCGTTCATAAGTGTTGCCGTAGGAAATGACTCAGACGGTGATGGCAACTTGTCACGCAGGGCATCATCATCATCATCATGTATATATGGCACATTGGTTGGAAGATTATTTTCTTCAACATGTGGGCTTATATCTTTTTTTTTCGAGAACCACCCTTTCGGGTGTGGTAAATGTCGGGTAACATTTACCATTTTTTTTTATTAAAATAAGTGTAACGATACAACATGTGGGCTTATATCTTTAAAAGGAAAATGGTCTTCAATAAAGCGAACATCTCTGGACACAAAACACGTCGATGTTCTAAATAAAAAAAATTCAGACCCTTTTGGAAATAACTGAATAAGTGTATCCCAAAAATATCCCACGAATTCCCCAATCAACAAATTTGTCATTTTCTCGACTTTTTGAATGTGCATAGCAAAGACAACCAAAAACTCTCAAATTTGTATAATTAGGCAATTTGCCATGCAATAACTCGTATGGCGTTTTACCTACGAAGACAGGTGACTGTAGTCTATTGATTAAATATTCTGCTGTCAAAACATATTCCCCCCAAAATGTCAATGGCAATCAAGCTTGGAACCTCAAAGCTCGTGCCATTTCAAGTATATGTCGATGCTTCCTTTCAAGTTTCAACCCGTCCATTTTGCTATGGTGTAGCTACACATGAAGTTTGGAAGAGAATTTCTTGATCATTTTTTTAATTTAAGAAGATTTAGAGGTATGTATAAAACATTAGGCAAGGTAGGGGGACTAAAGCCAATACCTACCCGAATTTACAATGTACGGACAACTAATTGCGTCAAACTTGACAATGCCTACGAACTTACTATAAATGTTCTGGGTGACAATCAAAAGCATCAAAATATTTAGCAATAAAACTAGCTGCTCGATTACATGGAGAATTCCTTGTTCCAAAAAATGAGATTTTAAACATAGAAATTCACTATCATTGAAATAAATTGTTTCAAAATATTCTTGACTTCACTCTTTTCACAAAATAGATGCACCCAAACACATCCAAAAAATCATCTACTATGGTCAAAAGATAATGTGAGCCACAAGTTGTAGGTGTGTGATAAGGCCCCCAAATATCACAATGTATCATTTCAAACAATTTAATAGCACGCCCGATATTAAGTGTCCCGAGTTTGTATAGCTCGTACACGAGCATCATAGAAAATAGACGAACTTACACAAGGGATATCATTATTATTTTTCTTCACACATTTCATGACTCTTGGCGACGGATGACTCAACCTCATGTGCCACAAATATGGACTCTCTAGTCTTTACCACATGCACCTTGATCAATTCTACACTGAAAATTGTAGACCCCCGCACTGTCTACCCACTCCAATTTGCGACCTCAAAAGTGGGTCCTATATTAGACATTCTTGTTAGTAAAAGTTATAATGCATTTCAGATCATCAATTAAGCGCCCTAACGAAATTAAATTACACGACAATCCCGACACATAAAGCACATCGTTTAACTCTAGTTTATCATCAAGTTTCACACATCCCGAATGTTCGGTATTCATCATGTCACCATTAGGTAAAGTCACTGTAATACGTGGTATAATTTTTCTTAAGGACCGATTCTTACTGTCATTTAAAAGATTGAGAAACACACACCATTGTTTAGGGGTTATTGCAAGAGCCTTTGTCCCGCACAGTGCTTCTTTGTTGACCGAAACTCCACTATCCACTTGCACGGTATGCACAATTGCTTCTCCCCATCCACGGATTCCTCCTCCTCGCATCTGGGTCTTGTTTCTGTTTTTGCCGTCAGTATCCGCCAGGGTCATCATTTGAACGAGATACTGCCCACTGGTTCGTGTCGTCTTCTACAAGATTACGTTCATTATTCATTGTCGTCTTGTGTCGCGTCAGTTCAATAGAGACGGGATCCAACCCGCTCTGATACCATGATGAAGCGAGTAGTTAATAGAGAAAAGAAATATGATGTCTGGTCAACAAACTAATTGAAAGGAAAACCAATTCATTTTTCTTCTTTATACGACACTAGCTTCTTTTGTATATATACAAGTATGCGTACAACTATTCTTAATGATAAAATATACTTTCATTAGGGGTGGGAAAAACCAAACCGAAACCCGGAAACCGACCCTGCACCGACCCGAATTATGATCCCGGTCCGGGTTTTTTCTTTTTAACCGGCCCGAATTAAAAAAAACCCGGACTGAACCGAAAATTCCGGGCTCTTTAACGGGCCTTAAAATCTATAACCCGGCCCGGACCGAAAAAACCCGAAACAATTAGTTTTAATATAAAATTAATATAGTATATGACTATAAATAAAATATTTCCTAATATATGATTATAATCACAGTGGATAAAAAAAGATTTAGTAACTTTTAGTGACTACAAATATGTTGAATTTGTTTAGTGTAATGATGACCATGAGAATATATTTATAGCAACTCTAGTAACTTTTTGATTTATAAAATTTATTTCGTAATATTTTTAAGAAACCTATATTGTTTATATATGTACATCTTACATAAAATATTAAGATAATTATCTTCTTTAAATTTGAATGGTTGGTGATTTTGAAGACTAATATTTGTGTTATTATTTGCGGTTTGTATTTTTGATTAATTTTATTTGAAAATAAGTGTTAAAATATAAAAGAACAATGACATATTTCACGTCCGGGCTTTAACCGGTCCAACCCGAACCCGGACCGAACCCGGGCTACCAAAAACCCGACTCAGACCGAATATAATGGGCTTTATTCCGGTCCCTAATTTTCATAACCCGAGACCTTCCGTGTAATTTCCGAGTTTAGCAAAAACCCGACCCAGACCAGACCGATCCCACCCCTAACTTTCATAAGGGTATGTTTGAGAGTTTGAATGGATGGAGAGGGGAAAGTTTTAAAGATTAGTCATTGGAAGGTAAAGGGGAGGGAAGGGGGAGGGAAAGAGGAGGAAAACTTCTTATTTGGGAGTAACAAATTTGAAAAGAGAGAGATTATGGTTGAATTATAATTAAAATTACTTCACATATATGATGAATTAAAATAGTTGAATTTATATTGATTTAAAATTGAGCTAAAGTTGTCATATACTGCGTAATTAGTTATCCCTTAAAATACCCCAATTTGGGGGAACTTGAAATTGAAGTATTTGAAAGGTTTTGGAGGATTACAAAAGCCCCCCCCAAAACCATCACATCCATATTTTTAAACTCTCAAACATGAAAGGGAGGATCATAAACCCCTCTCAACCTTCCTCTACTCTCTGATACCCAACTCCCAAACATACCTTAAGATAAAGATATACACACACAACACTAATATAAAGTAACGTGTAAAAGTGATGACCAAATATTGTGATCCCATAAATTACGATTCCAACAAATTGTTCCACCTAAAAATACTCTGCGCCAAATTCCTCAATCAGAACAACAAATAGTTCAACAACAAGAAGAAGTGGAAGAAGAATGGATATTCAACGAAGATACAAAAGAAGAAATTATTTGTGAAGCTCACTAAAGGAGCATGGTCGAATGGAAATTCAATGAGGCTAGTCGATGTGGTGGCATCTCGTGTGCCTACAAAATCAATCATGGTTAATAATCTGCGATATATAGGATAACTCACAATCTTCGTAGCATTGAAATGTTCATGGGACAAACAAGCTAATTACATATGCCTTATTCAGTATATATTTCTTTATTCAAGTTTTAGCGATAGGCATGTAATCCGTATAATGACTTTTTACATGGGAAAGTTCTCGAAATAGGACTAAAACAGTTTGAAAATTCCAAAATAGGACTGCCAAGTTTTTTATTCCCAAAATAGGAGTAATTACTGTCATGTTTGGAAAATACTGCCATGTTTGAAGTCTGGTACTGCCAAAACATGACAGTAATTAGTCCTATTTTGGGAATAAAAATATGGCAGTCCTATTTTGGAATTTTCAAACCTTTTTAGTCCTATTTCGGGTAATATCTCTTTTTACATTAGAGTAGACACACTTATTAATCTCCTCTACTTTTTATTATTCCTTGCATCGGGAAAAATTAGCTTCATAAAGCATTATGTTGTGTATCGATTCAAGTTGTAAAGAATAGTGTGACTATATGACTATGTACTTTAAAGGGGGAGTTGCAAATATACCTCTGAAGTATATGTGAAGGTGCACTTATATCCCTAAACCCCTAAAGGTGCAAGATTCACCCCTATTGATTTTAAATATATAGAATACATTTAACAAAAACCAAAAATATGTTAAAATTAAATATTAGAAATTGAAAAGTAAAAGAATAAAAATCTACTCGTGTCAGATTCTCTCTTTTATTATTTATATATCATAATTTAATATTGTTAGATAAAATTGTTAATATATTATTGGTCCAAATGGTCTTTGTATATGAATAATAGTTGACACCCTATTTTAGCAGCCCGCTACACCTCCTATTCTTTGCATCAGACTGATCTATGCCTATTCAGTTCCCCAATTTGAATTCTTATTGAGTCGCATTATCTCTTGTCTGTGCAATGTATGAGTATCCTTTTCTATCTCATTTCCTTTGCTAATAAGGCCAAAAGTACACCTTGTTATATAGGCAGACCGAGGGCTGTTCCTGTACATATGGATGTACAGGAAGCTCCGTACGGACAAAGCCATCCGAGGCCCTTCCCGGTCGAATTTTTTAATGAAATTTTTTGAGCATGTTCTTCATCAAGTCTAGTTTAGCCATACCAAATTTCAGCTTAAAACTCGATCGGGAAGGGAGTCAAATAAATTCTTGAAATATACTGCACATTATATGTGCGCAGAATGCGCCATATATTTCAAGAATTTATTTGACTGTTTTCCCGATTGAATTTTGAACTGAAATTTGGTATGGATAAACTAGACTTGATGGAGAACATGCTCAAAAAATTTCATCAAAAAATTCCACCCGGAAGGGCCTCTAATGACTTTGTCCGTATGGAGCCCCCGTACATCCATATGTACATGATCATTCCTCTAGGCAGACCCGTGCTTCTAATTGAGACAAGCCAGACTTTCATGTGTTGAATTAGTCTTCTTCCTGGCCGAGTGCATTTCCTAGTGAGTTTTTCCTTCATCTTTGTGAGGCTAGAAGTGTGAGTGTAGGCGTGGCTATCTAGAGAAGTTGCTCCCTTAGCTTAGGAGTGCACAAGAGACAATCGGAAAACCGAGCTCCGGACTGCCTGAGTCAGAATATGGCAACGGAATCGATCCTCAACAGTGGTATCAGAGACGGGGTTGTCGTCGTCTCGTTTTCGCCAAATTCCGCCGGCCGGAGGTCACCAACAGTCAAGCTTCATCGTCTTCTCACAGGAGCTCACTGTTTCGTCCACCAGAGATTGAAACCGCTGGAGCTCTGCTCGTGACTCGCCCAGACCCCTCACGCTAGAAATCGACCGTTGATTTCCTTTCCGCCGCCGTACGCCGCCGTACACCGCCGATTTAAGGTCTGGAAAGCCATCGCCGGAAGTCGCTACTGTCCAGCAGAGAGATTGTTGTCGCATGGAGGTCATAGCTCGCGGATAAGTTTGTCACTGGAGCCGCCGCCTTCCGTCGCTGCAGGTCGCCGTCCCAGAGCTCGTCCTTATCCGTTTTTGTCTTGGTCGCAGAGAGAACGAGCTGTACCTAGACGTGGATCTCTCGCTCAGAAGCAGAGAATAGAGGACCTGGGCTTCAAATCATTGGGCTACAACTCAATTGGGTTGGACGCTGGTCAAAGCAGAGGAGTCTACTTCGCTGGACAAAGAAGAATCCCAGAAGCTCGTGGTTCGTCACTCTCCTGGGAGCTGGAGGACTGAACATTGAGGCTGGATTTGGAATGCGAGACACAGTACGTGATACCTTTCTGCTGCTGGACTTGGGATGTACCTTCAGGGCTGCTCAGTTGCTGAACTGCTTGACTTTGAGTTGCACTTGGAGCTTGATATTGGGGTTGGACTTGGAGCAGAGAAGAGACTTGGTCAATTGCTCAGTCAACTTGGTCAAAACTCGGTCAACGTCCGTCAAGGGACGTCAATAGTCTGAAAAATCTCAATTTTTAAATTGGGTGGGTAAGGTCCAAACACTCTCCTAGTGTTTGGCTGTCGTAAGTCTTCTTTATCCGAAATTTCAGTTTCTGCTTTTCAATTATTTTAAATTGTTAGAATTTGTTGTTGATTTAATATTTGCTAGATTGTATTTATTTGTGCTAATGTTAGCCCTATAAATGTTAAGTTGTTTTTTAGCTAAAGTTTCATTTTATTTTTTCTTGTTTAGTTTTTCTGTGTGAAAATGTCTGCTTTTAATCAGTATGGAATAGCTCCATTTAATGGAAAAACTGATTTTAGCATATGGAAACAGAAAATAAAGTGCATATTAATTCAACAAAAATCATATAGGGCCATTAGTGAGACCTATTTGACTTCCGATACGGAAGAGAAAAAAGCAGAAATGAATGACAATGCTTGTTCTACAATTTACTTGAACTTATTTGATTGTGTGCTCAGAAAAGTAGGAATTTTAGAATCAGCTAAATCTGTGTGGAATAAACTTGAAGAGCTTTATAACGTAACCTCTTTGCCTAACCGGATGTTTTTACTTGAGAAGTTCTTCAAATTTAGACTAGATATGTCTAAGGATATTGAAGAAAATCTAGATGTTTTTACCAAACTTATTTCGAATATTAAGTTGTGTGGTGATAAGCATATAGATGATTATTTCCCTATTTCTCTTTTAAATGCTATTCATGATTCCTTTGTGAGGACAGTACTAGAGGTCTGGATAGAGGTCTGAAGTAACTACCTCGGGGCCTATGGGGCCGGGGTGTTACAGTGAGTTGCTATTTTTTGAACCTCACATAGTTCAAAATTCCCAGTTTCATGTTCACTCTCTTGCGAAGTTAAGTGAAGAGTTGGTCAAATCTGGAAAGGCGGAACACTTTAAAAAGATTACAAGAATAATTCATCTTGTATTGAGTTTACCCGTTTCGACTGCAACAATAGAAAGATCATTTTCTACCTAAACAAGGGTGAGAAACAAGGATATTTATAAAAGTAAATGGCTGTTGGTATGGGAATGACAAGAGGGTTCCATTGATGTGCAATAATAATGAAATAATAAAAATATACATATATACTCCATCTGGTAATAATTTACGTAGTATATAAAATCAATATTATGGGGTTGTTTGCTACCTGTAAAAGTACTTTATTTCCCAAACTAGAAAATCAAAAAGGAGACCTGGGAAACTACAAAACTGGAAGAAAAAACTCAAAACAGAAACAGAAAAAATGACAAACCAAAAGCTATAAAAACTGTGAAACAAAAGTCAAGAGCCCTAAGCTTTCCAGATTTAGTGATCATCACCAAGACCAGCCCATTAACTCAACCTACTTGTGGCAGGATGCATAATGAAATTTAAACAGTCAAATAGTCGTCTAAAACTAGTTAAAAACATATCCAATGCAAAAATTATGAGATGGAAAAACAAAACTCATCATGTTGCATTTTCCCACTTCTGCTGATAGTGTCATGAGAGGATGATAAATTGTTGACATAGTTGATTTAGTGATGTGTCTAAAAATACTAAAATCGATATTGCAACTCCCACCCTGCATAAAAGGCTTCTAGGAATCCACACACGGACAGAAGCGCTTTTCTTGGAAAAAGGATAGAAACACACCTCATTGTAAGATGGAAGCGATCACTATCATGAGACAAGTGCATCCTGAAACGAAAATATGACCCTGATGTATATTTAACAGTAAAAATTGTGAAGAAGGCATATATTTCTTCTATGCTAGTCAATTCCAACCCTCGAGTATCTGCCCCTACCGTAAAATTTTGACCTAGTAGGTCAAATACGAATTTTTATCGTGTCCTAATTTCAGCCCGATCCGGCCCAGTTTTTACTACACATTTTATACGAGTGCATAATAGATAGTATTACTAAAGTTAGTGTCATAAATGTGTGTGTATTAACGCAGAAACTAGTCTAGTTGATTTTAATATTACAATAATAACAATGTTGAAGTCAAAATTAATTGAATGTCATGATAAGATGGTTAAGTGTCTAGTATCTGCTTGGTCAACACTTTAAACATTGTTTAACAGTCTCTTCAGTCTATGCATATAAGAATGGCAGAACTATCGAATACGACCTCCAAATATTTCGGAAAAGTCAATTAGCACCTTGTACAAAATAAAGACCCAATTGGAACCCTGAGCTTTTTAAAAATTACCAATTTCTCATTTCAGCCGGTAACTATCCGGTTTACTGGTTACCCCTTAAAATAGCAAATACGGAGTATTAAACTGGTATGTACGAGCGCCGCATCATCTGCCTCATGCTTATCTAGTTTTTCTATTTCTTTATTTCTCACGTTGGTCTCTACTCTTCAAACAGACCTATGCCTCTTCTTCCTCTGTAAACCCTAGGACCTAGAGTCTAGAAGTTCGTCTGGTTTCCATTGCCGATACCAAAGAAGTTCTTTTCAAGTTAATCAATTAATTATTTTACTTCTAATCTCTTTCCTTTGTAAATAGCTAAATGATTGACACGGAACAGATTTTCCCCAAATCAAAGTTGCACCATCTTTTTTTTGTTCAAAGAATAAGGTCCCAACCAAGTACCAACTCATCCCTGCAAGCGGTAACATACCAGACGAGGAGATAGAAAATAATTATTTTTCCCCATTGGAGTCTTGGAGAGGTGGTGATAACGGAGCATAGTTGGTTCCAGTGCAGCAACCGTAATAATAGTGGGTTCAATCTGGTTTAGAAGAAACTGCATGATCTTGATACAAACCTGAGCTTATGGAAAGAGAACTAATAGAAATAATACTGAATATTTTAATAAGCTGTAATAAGGAAGTGGGCCGGGCCATATAATTAGTTAGATTGAGGTGAAGCCTCTTTGGGAAAGAATAAATAGTAGGATTAGAAGAGGGAGAGGCATGGTTGGATTTTGGGGAAAATTGAGATCTGGGAGAGATAGGGGCCCTCTCGAGCTGGCCTCCATTGTATTCCTCTTGTTTTCTGAGACATCAATAATATTTTCAACTCCAATTTTCCGCGTTCCTATTATTGGTATCAAAGCAGTGACGATCGATCTATCCGCGGAAGACCTTCATCGATCCAGGATGGAGAAGCGACCGGAGAAGATAGAGCGTGACCTGGCGGAGGTGATTACAACGGTGGACGAGCTGCGCGACTTGCGCACATCGTTGGAGGAGATGCACGTCTTTCTGCTTCTGCAAGTCGCCGACGACCTAGGGGCCGATTGAGGAACCCTAGGCGCCGTCGGAATTCTGAAAACCATGTCTCTTCATCGTCGCAAACTTCATCGCAAGCAGGAGATCCCCGATCACAGGCTTTGTCACTCACCGATACTCACAGTTCCTCTTCTCGAGCGGCTTCTACCGGTTCGCAGGTGTCGTCGCAAGCTGTTTCTCCAAGTTCGCAAGCTTCATCGCCCAGCTGATTCTCAGGGGTCAATGGCAGTCCTCGACTCGGTTGAGGGTAGAGTTCAACCGGAAACTTCTGATAATGGAGTGCGAAATATGAGGTTGATTGGAGTGATGGCCAATCATTGCTCAACGGGTGAACTGTCAAATGGGGTTAAAGCATTATTTAGCTCAGTATTTTCTGATGAGCAGATTAAAGAAGATGAGAATGCTGAGGTTCAGGGCATGAACACAAATTCTGCTACCGATGAGGTAATTGATGCAGTACGGGACATCTGGAAGGGAGAAGAGTTAACATTTGATCACAACTATGTTCGCGTTTTGGGTGCTGTTGCAAAAACAGGTGTAGAGGGTACACCTCAGGAAAGCATAGAAACATATGTTGCTATTGAAGGCTTGAAAGATACTGAAGACGATGGAATGTCACTAGATACACCCTCTGCTACTGAAACCATTATGATTTTGAGTACTAGGAAGGAAGAGGCGCCAAGATAAAACTGAATGGCATGGCTGTTTCTTACTCCCCCACCTTGAGGACAAGGTGGTTGTCAAGGGGGGAGTGATGATATGAGCCTGAGCTTATGGCAAGAGAACTAATGGAAAAAATACTGAATTTTTTAATAAGTTGTAACAAGGAAGAGGGAGAGGCAGGCTTGGATTTGGGAAAAATTGAAATCCGGGAGAGATAGGGGCCCTCTCGAATTGGCCTGCATTGTATTCCTCTTGTTTTCTACGATATCAATAATATTTTCAACTCCAATTTTCTCCGTTCTTATCAGATCTCCCCCTCTGCGGGTGTTGACTTTTGAACCTTCACCAAACCACTCCAAGCCTCCCAGATCTTGTGGTTTCAAATGAAGCGAGGCCATAATCAATGAGAGTGGTGGTCAAACAGGTTCAGGGAGAGCTGGGAATGGAAGAGAGAGGAAATTGATATTTTAGCACACGCCACGTCAACATCGATAAGTAAGATAACCGGATGTTTTTTAGACAGCAGGCTGAAAAGAGAAATTGCTTGTTTTTTTAGAGTTCAAGTGGTTAATTGGGTATTTCTTTTGTACGAGGTGTTAATTGACTTTTTAGAAATATTTGAGGGGCCTATTGGATAGTTTTCCCAACAACAGATGTAGTGGATCAATAGTACCCAAAAAGGTATAAACCTTAAAGTGACACAAGCAAATGATACCAAGGGGTCTCTGAGCAAAAAAACTGTTCTCTGAAACAGCCCCAAGTTACACCTAAACGTTCTCACTTTTTAAATATTTAAAAATTACTCAATGATCAACACTCAGAAAACTTCCAATTGTACTCTAGCGTAGACATACACAACCAATATGGTCTCTGAACTGAAGAGTGACAAGGTTGTCGCACTAGTGGTGGTGTGTGAAAAAGGAAAGATTAAGAGATGATGCCCATAAATATTTGTTTTCCTTTATCTTTCAGATTTTGTTTATTTATCTTCCAAGTGTTGTTGTTAGTTTGTCTTTCAGATTTTGAGTTACTGGAACTATAGAAAACCTGACTAAGTTGTTCAATATCAGCCGTCTAAAATTGGAATGTGGTTGCACCGCTGCAGTAACTACCATCAATGCAAAACCTGAAGGAGATGTTAAAAAACTACTCCCCGTGTCCCCATTTAATCTTCGTACTTTCCATTTCAATCTGTCCCCAAAGAATCTTCATTTTTTTCCTTCAAGGAAACTGGGCGGTTCATATTATTTCCAGTCCCTTCTAAATAAATTTCAATCCTACAACTTTATTTTCTTAAACTACACGCAAAGTCAAACAAAGAACAATCAAAAGTCATTATTTTTCAGTCTTTCCCATATACTTTCCCAGGCAGTTAGTTCTCTAGGTTCATATTAATGATCTCATAAAATGTTTAAACAAGAACTAATGTAAATACCTGCACTCATCCCATCGAATTGCTTCTGTTGTAAATACCTGCACTCATCCCATCCGTACAACCAGATTCACCATCAAGCTCAGCTGCAAAGAAAATTGCAAAACACAGGGTCAATCCTGAAGCATGACAATTGGTGCAAGGGGATTGGATAAAGCTGGATTCCAGGATTTTGATATTGAAATTGAAAATATGCAAAGTGAGCTTCAAGAATTGAGGAGTTTCAAAGCAGCTGAGAATAAGGAATTGGAAAGGGAAAAAAATAAAATGAAAAATTGTTTGATTGTTGTATTGTCTTGTATTTTCATTAATGTAGTGTGTGTACTTTTTTAGTTAATTTGTATTTTTAGTATTTGTTAAACTCACTGGAGTGCAAATAGGATTAGTTAAATCCTAAAAATGAGTTACACTAGTCATAAAATGCAAATAAGCTTTACTACACAATATACTTTAGTTTATTGTCCTGCCAATAAACTTTACAGCACATATTCATAAAACTCAATATGGTTGCATGTGAAACGCCGCACAAACTAAGAATGATGCAAGCATGGGCTTGTTATAACACCTCATTTAACTGCTAAAAAGTGTAAATACACTTTGGTTCCAGGCGTCCAAGTTCCAAAAAGTCAGTAAAGGAAGGGATGGCAAGTGTAGGTGTAAAATGTAAACTTATCTTGTTTGGGAGAGTAAAGAAAATGAAGAGTTATTAAAGGAAGTGTTTTTGTTGAATTGTCTAAAATAACCTTATGCTTCATACGTGCACACACGCGCACACACACACACACACATATATATATGTACAAAAGGGTTATCGATATGGAAACCCGGGTTACCCATATTATTATGAAAATAAAAAAAGGTTATCAAGCCATGTTATTAGTGTTAGTATCAAAAAAGCTTGGGCATAAGAATTGACTCTACATATAAAAGGTGCTTATATACATGTTTACAGTTCTGGTTAGCATAAGAATAACACAAATGGAAGCTGCTTTTATATGTAGTGTTAGGAGAAATAAATCATGATATATTTGATTTTAAGTTCTGTTTAGTTGACAATGACCAATAGGTTTTGACAGACAGCACTTCACTCACGTCATCACTTGTTTAATGTTTCCAGACGCATTTTGCAGCAAGAAGCTCTCTGACATATGCAGGCAGTACTTCAGAAATTCAGAGAAATCCAAAACATTTTATACTGGAAAGCCGTAAAAGACAAAGCAATAGCAAATACTTGACGTAAATTACCTTTGCAATGTCCTCCCATTCTACTAGACGAGAAAAAAGTAGACTCATGCCTGCAAAGTTGAGGGTTCAAAGCGTAAATCAATCCACAAATAGAAAGGCAAATGCAATATAAAGTAAAACTTGAGCCATGGTCATCATCATGTTCATCTTAATATCAAGTAGTTGGGAATTGGGATTGGTGGGATTAAGTTTATAACGACGACTAAGTTATAGAGTTGAGATTAGTTAACAACTGAACACTATAAATTCATGCAAAAAAGCATGGTGACATAATTTTAAGCAAGCCACATTGTTGCAACCTTCCTTCCTGTGAAGGAAGTACGAATGAATGAGATGCATTTCTAAAACCATCATTCCTTTATGAGACAGTGATGAAGTGAGATGCTTGTATGTACTGGTTACAATACAATATAGCATAATACTACCTCCGTCCCATATTTCCAAATGCGGGTTACGAAGTTTGGTCATTTTGGGAGAAAGACCAAAATGGACACTTTGGTCATTTAGAGAGCTCAAAATGGACACTGACCTCTCAAATAGACCAAAATGTGTTGCCCCGTCAGTTTTCAGAAAACAAACGAGGAAACAAGACAGGAGGAACCGGAAGAACCCTATTGTTGCCCCGTCCAAGAACCCTATTTTTACCTGCTCAAAATTCAAACTGCATAAACTGGAAGAAGTGTAAAGGAGTACCAACTTCAGCAACCTCAATTTGTTCTCAATCCGGCCGTCGGCTCCAAGAAGTTTGACAAGACTAAGATAGAAATTCAAACGCAGAGCAACCCTTTCCTTTTCCCCTTCCTTCAACTCCTTTCCTATCCCCCTTCAATTAAATTTCACGCCTTTTGAGAGTCAAATAAGACGGTCAGTAATACAGTCGTGTTAGTTGGCATTTTTTCCAAGTCATAAAGTAGATAATAACATGTTGAAAACCATCTCGTGGCTTCGCTGACTAGGGGTAGCATAAAACTATTTTGGACCTATCTCGTTGATCTGAGACTTACTTTGAAACCGACCTCGACAGACTCGGCCTCACACGCGGTTTTGGATTTATTTCGATCATCTGAGAACTATCTTGGGAGTCGACCTCGGCGGGCTCAAGTGCGGTGTGAAATGACTTAATAATTTCTGGAGATCGTTTCACTACAAGAAATCACACATTTTATGAAATAAATTTGTGTGACGCGGAAAATTGTCATATTATATTGAGCAATAGTTACAAGACTTAAATTCGTCACAGTAACATGATTTATTGTGACAATATTCGTGTTTGTCACATCGGAAGAGTGATGCAATAGTAACAAAACTTAAATTCGTCACGGTAAAATGATTTATTATGACAATATTAGTGTTGATTACACTTTAAAGATAGTTCACTTCGACAAATTTGTGTGTGCCCTGTTCCTTGATTAAGTGTTCTGTCGGTTGCCCTCCTACATCATTTCTTAGTGAAGGCTTATCAACAACCGCAGTCACCATTCCATCATCTATCAAGCTCACAAAAGGAGCATGATCGAATGGAGATTCAATGAGGCTAGTCGATGTGGTGGCATCTCGTGTGCCTACAAAATCAATCATGGTTAATAATCTGCAATATATATGATAACTCACAAGCTAATTATATGAAATGTTCATGGGACAAACAAGGGAATGTGTTCTTAATTGGATTGATTTGTCTTCTAGATCACACTAGATGAGATGACAGTAAAATGCATATTAAATAGATACATATCAGACTAGACCAAATCAAATGACCTTAAAAGAAGCACAACTAAATGACCTCCAATTCTCTAACATTGTGATTGTTTACTACTCCGTGTGCAGTGTCTACAATGGCATTTCTCAAACAAACGCTATTGTAGACATCCCCATTACTTCTCACACAAAGTGACGTGTCATTGCATCCCACCTTGACTTCAAGCCCTTCATCTTTTTATCAGCATAGTCTACCTCTAACTCTCTGCTTTCAATTTTCATAGCCTGTTCCTTTGCAAGAGAGTGAACTTTCTTCGTCTGCTTTGATAGTTCTTCTTTTTCCAACTTCCGTCGTTGACTTTGGCTTTTAATTATCTCCAGCTGAGCTTCCATTTCCTTTTCTTTGGTATTTAGCTCTTCAAGATTAGTCTTTATAGTTTATTCTGTCCTCCATTTCCACTAAATCTTGGAGCAAAATATCGGTCTTCTCAAAAGTTATCCAAAGCTGCAAACTACTCTCCTTGACTTGAATGGAGTCTCTCCACTCTTGCATTATGTGAGGAATAGTAGCTTTCAACTTCATAATTTCTTTAGCTTGTACATCGCTAAAAAAAGAAAGGTTACTGGTAAGCACTGACAACGACTCTACCAACGCACTTTCATGCTTGGGATCAGCTAAAGCATCCAAAGGGTATGATATGAGTTTGTCAAAGATGTCTTTAGCAAAAGTTGGATTGGCTTTGGGCACTTCAGGTGTAGCAATAGGTACCAAGGTGGATGGTTTTTTGGGTAATGACCGGAGAAACGAATTAGCATGGACATACACAGACTCCACAGGATCAATGGTAACAGATGAATTCCAAGCCTGTCCAAAGGCAGATACAGAAGAAGAATCAATGTATGAATCATAAAACAAACTATAGAAGTAGTATGTACTATGAAGTGGTGAACTTGAGTAAGTTACCTTATCTGTGGACGCCAGAGAGTCGTCATTCACATATACTTCAGCTTCAATCAAACATGTATCGTTCACTAGATAACCTGCAGCACTATCATGAAATTCAGCAAGTCGGATAAATTCGGGGGAGCCAAAACCAATTTCTTGAGCGTTGAGCGTATATTCCTCCTCTGCAGATTGAGCAAGAATATAACAATACAGATTAACCACTAATAATACTACTCAGTATAGGTAAAGAGAGGCCAACAAATAAATAAACACACAAAAAATGTCAGTGTACTAGATGTGCAGAAATAGTACCTTGCTTTATGGTTTCGTTGCTGTCTATCTGGTTAATAAGAGCAAGATTGAATTTTGTTGGTATGCTCCAGCCATTGGGCAAGCTAGATGGATTAGCAACAACAAGATACATAGATAGATAATCTCTACCTTCTCCTTTCGGATAAAGAACCAACTTCCTGCAGAATTAAAGGTGTTACCTGTGATCTTGATTAAAAGCATGCAGTCCCTAAAGAAGATGGGTGGATTTTTCGGAAGTGTAAAAAAATGTGGTGGTATTTTTTTGAAAGGAAAAACTGCGGTAGTATTAGAAAATCCCCCACACGATTGTGGTACTACTAAATTTAATCCCAAAATTTTAATTTAGTCAGATTCGATAATAATAATCATTCATTTACAAAATTTGGTCATGCATTAATCCTTCCACCAATCACAAGCCTAATCTACCTGCTGTATAGCCAGAAGTATAAAGTAATTCAGGGAGGGGAGGGCTAGAACTAGGCAACAACTACTCCTATTTATCTCTTCCTTTCATTAGGAATCGTTTCCTTTTTCCTGCCATGGATATTACCTAGGATGACATGATTGAAGGACTGGTCTCGGATTTGGCGGAGAAAAGACGAGAACAATAAACAAATGACCAAAATAATGAGTCTAGAAACATATCATTACACACAATTTTCTAAATAGAAAAACATATTTCACTAATTTTCAATTGTTGGTTATACCATTGGTACTCATTCACGACAAACGTCACGGAGTGTAGCTCTTCAGCACCTAACTGCGAGAATCTTTCGATCCTCCATGAAAATTTTGTCATCAGATGTTTGGTTTTGATAGGCGCCATAGTCAACCGTCCGGAACAGAGCCGGCCGGTATCCGCCGTCTTCGTCCAGAATGTAATGCGAATCACGGAGGCGAAGACTGCAGAAGGTCTGTATTGTTGATGATTTGTATAGCATTATTAAAGTCTGCACTTGGCGTCGCTTCGTAGCCTGAGTGAGTTTCTTGAGCATTTTTAGTAATCTGCTGTTATGAACGTAGCAAGAAGAGAGAAATACATTCATAACAAACAGAAAAAGATGGATATAGCAGCAAGAAGGAATAAGGAAGAAGAAGTTTATTAGCTCAGCAATGCCCCGTTCTGATGATACAGCCAACCTTTATACAATCCTCAACCGACTAACTACCATTCGGTTACTAGTAATTGGACTATAACAAACAACAAAGAAAGAAATGGATATACAAGTGGCCCATCAAATCTACTTAGGCCCAAATAAAGAAGGCTTAATTGTAACATTGCCCCCTCCTTTCTCCAAAGCTTGTCCCCAAGCTTTTATTTCTGGAAACTGCTTAACTATCCTATCATAGTCTTCCCAAGTAGCTTCATCTTGGTGCAAATGTTCCCATTTTATCAGCCATTGTACTACTGCTGCATTGTTTCTCTTGACTATCCTTCTAGCCAATACTCCAGTTGGTATTGCCATTGTATTCATCATAGGTATTTTGCTAGTTACAATGTCTGTCAATCCCACCCTCTTCTTCAATACTGAAACATGAAACACTGGGTGTATTTTACTACCCTCTGGTAATGCCAATCTATAAGCCACAGCTCCTACTTTTTCTGTTATAGGGAAAGGTCCACAGTATTTAGGACTTAGTTTCCACAGATTGGACTTTCTCATACTTCTTTGTCTGTAAGGTTTGAGTTTCAAGTAAACCCAATCCCCAACTGCAAACTGCCTCTCCAGTCTTCCCTTATCTGCTCTCTCTTTCATTCTTTGTTTAGACAAGTTGAGATTGTATTTTAATTTCTCTGAAATTAATTGTCTTTTCTCCAGTTCATGCTCCACCCCTACTACAGTTAGTTCACCATAAGGACCAAGATTTAGAGTAGGAGGTTTGTACCCAAACAGAGCCTCAAAAGGACTCATTCCAATGGCCGTATGGTGACAACTATTGTACCACCATTGAGCTAGGGAAAGCCAATTACTCCATTCTCTTGGAATCTGCTCACTCATACACCTGAGATAGTTTTCTAGGCACTGATTAACTCTTTCAGTCTGCCCATCCGTTTGTGGGTGATAAGATGTACTCAAGTGATGCTTTACACCCATTGCCTTAAACAGTTCTGTCCAGAACAAGCTGGTGAAAATCTTGTCTCTGTCAGATGTTATGGATTCTGGTAATCCATGGAACTTGCCAATATTATTGATGAATATTGATGCTATTTTTGGAGCAGTGTAGGGATGAACTAGGGCTACAAAATGGGCATATTTAGTATACATGTCCACTACTACTAAAATGGCATCATACCCATTAGATTTTGGAAGTTTCTCAATAAAATCCATAGTAATGTGTTGCCATGCCTGCTGAGGTACTGGTAATGGTTGTAACAGTCCAGGATATTTAGAATTCTCATGTTTACATATCTGACAGATAGAGCAATTTCTCACCACTTGTTGTACTGTCTGTTTCATCTGTGGCCACCAAAACATGCTCATAATCCTGTGTAGAGTAGCTAATTCCCCTGAATGTCCTCCTGTTGCACTTTCATGTATCATTGTCACCATTTTCTTCCTTAGATCCCCTGTTGTCCCTACATACAACTTGTTCTTATATCTCAGCATTCCATTGTAATAAGAAAAGTAGCTCATGTTATAGGGAGCAGCCAACTTTTGTAAGACAGCTTCTTCAGCTTCCTCATCCCCTTGGTAACTCGATATTAATTCCTCTTGCCATACAGGTTTAATTGCAGATATCATACTGCAATGTCCATCTTCCTCATTACCTGTGATATCCCTTCTAGATAGGGCATCTGCCACTTTATTCTCATGTCCTTTTTTGTATTCAATACTATAATCATAACCCAGTAATTTGGTTAAGTATTTGTGCTGAGTAGGTGTGGACACTCTTTGATCCATCAAGTATTTTAGACTGATCTGGTCAGTCCTGATTACAAAAGGTGCATGCAGTAAATAAGCTCTCCACTTTTCAATGGCAAGGACAATGGCTAAAAATTCCTTCTCATAAATGGACAATCCCATGTTCTTGGGTCCCAGCGCCTTGCTGATATAGGCTAAAGGATGATTGTCCTGTAGTAATACAGCCCCAATACCTTCATAACATGCATCAGTCTCCACAATGAAAGTTTTGTTAAAATTGGGTAGCTGTAATATAGGTACGGTGCACATAGTTCTCTTCAATCCTTCAAATGCTTCTTGTGCTTCAGCACTCCATTTAAACATTCCTTTCTTTGTCAGATTTGTCAAGGGTCTGGCCTTGCTTCCATACTGAGGACAAAACTTTCTGAAATATCCAGTCATGCCCAAAAAACCCCTCAATGCCTTGAGAGAAGATGGAGTTGGCCATTCTAGAATACATCTGATTTTTTCTGGGTCAACTGCCACCCCAGCAGCACTAATAATATGTCCCAAATACTCTATTTGTGAAACTCCAAATACACACTTGGATCTCTTTGCAAAAAGATTGTGTTGTAGCAGTAATTGAAACACTTGTCTCAAATGTGCCTTGTGAATTTCTGGGTTGCTACTGTATATAAGGATATCATCGAAGAAAACCAATACAAATTTTCCCAAATATTCCTTGAACACATTATTCATCAGTGCTTGAAAAGTAGCAGGTGCATTTGTCAAGCCAAATGGCATGACAGTAAATTCATACAACCCACTACTAGTGATAAAGGTTGTCTTCTCAATATCTTCTGGCCTCATTCTCACTTGATGGTATCCAGCTCTCAGATCAACCTTAGAGAAAATAGTAGCTCCATTCAACTCATCTAATAGATCATCTATAAGAGGGATAGGGTAGTTATTTTTTATAGTGATCGAGTTAAGTTTTCTGTAATCAACACAGAATCTCCAGGATCCATCTTTTTTCTTTACTAACAATACTGGGCTAGAGTATGGACTCTTGCTATGCTGTATAACCCCAGAAGCTAACATCTCCTTGACTAGTTTCTCTATTTCATGCCTCTGCATATAAGGATATCTGTAAGGGATCTGTTTAAATGGTTTTTCTCCTTCTTTGATGTTGATATGGTGTTCATGCTGTCTGATTGGAGGTAATCCCTTAGGTTCTTGGAAAATTTCTTTAAATTCCTCAATCAGCTCTTCCAGCTCTTCTTGAATAGATGGTTTTTCTTCCTTTACTACAGATGTAAACATACAAAAGAATTTGGACACCACTCCATTCTTCTTCTTCAGGAATTTATTCATCTTCTTTCCTGACATCATTCTTACTGATATATCTTGTTGTATCCCCTTGACAGTGATCTTTTCTCCTCTATGATCAAAAGTGACAGAGTGATTGTCATAGTCCAACATTATAGGCCCCAATTTTTTCATCAAATCAACCCCCATTACCATATCATAGCCTCCCAGTGGTAGCACCCTTACACTGGCTGCAAAATTGTGGCCCGCCATTTCCCATTCCAGATTTGGACATTTAGAATTGCACTCAATTTTGCCTCCTCCTGCCACCATAACTTGCAATGGATTTGTTATCTCCAAGTCACACTTGATTTTATTAGCTGTTGTTGGATCTATGAAACTATGAGTGCTTCCGGAATCCACTAATATAGTTATATTATTATTCTTCACCCTTCCTGCCAACTTAATAGTTTCAGTAGGCACATGGCCTTTTAAAGCATGCAATGATACTCCAAAGCTTGTTTCATCATCATTGTCTTGGTTCAATGGATGTTCATTATCATTTTTGTTATCTTCATCTAGCAGAATAACAAATAGTTTTCTACATTTGTGCCCCAAAGTATATGCTTCATCACAATTGAAGCATAACCCCTTCTTTCTCCTGGCTTCCAGTTCATCCTTATTCAATCTCTTGATTGGTAGAGGTTTCTCTCCGTTGGCAGACACTTTGGACTCAGTATTACTCTTGGACCAGCTATTCACTTTCTGTATAGATTTTCCTGTTCTTCCTACTGCTTCCAGGAGGGCTTCTTGTTTTTTGGCTATCAAAAAGGCCTGCTCCAATGTCTCGGGAGCTACAATCTCCACCATATGCCTAATTTCACTCTTTAGGCCACTAAGAAAACTTTTCAAGAAGTAATACTCGTCCAAATGTTTATTTCTTTGTAGCATGAAAGATTTCAGTTCAGAAAATTTATCAATATAATCATCAACTCCATTTTTTTGCCTCAATTTATTGAAATCACCAATGATGTCATTTTCCTTTGAAAATCTTTCCAAGAATAATACTACAAATGCTTCCCAGCCCATGGATTCTTTTCCTACAATGCGATCCATATACCAGTTCTCTACACTTCCAGTCACATACATTCCAATTAATACAATCTTCTCATAATCAGACATGCTATTGATTAAGAAATACCTTTCGCATTTTCTGATCCATCCCCTAGCATTTTCACCATTGAAATGAGGAAATTCCAATTTGAGTCCACGTTGATGTCCTGGAGTAGAAATCAAGCCTGAATCCTGTCTTCGAGGAGTATGTTCTTGATGGATGTTCCCATTGATTCCTTTGACTGCAGCTATGACCTCTTCGAATCGTCTCTCACTCAATTCTGCAAGCTTCGAGAAATCAGTTCTCTGCACCTCATTGAGTTTTTCAAGTTCTTGTCGTATGTTGACCAAATCAGCTTCCAATTGAGTAATACGATCTGTGTTACTCATCTTTGCCATGGATGCTAAGCTAGCTCTGATACCAAATTGTTATGAACGTAGCAAGAAGAGAGAAATACATTCATAACAAACAGAAAAAGATGGATATAGCAGCAAGAAGGAATAAGGAAGAAGAAGTTTATTAGCTCAGCAATGCCCCGTTCTGATGATACAGCCAACCTTTATACAATCCTCAACCGACTAACTACCATTCGGTTACTAGTAATTGGACTATAACAAACAACAAAGAAAGAAATGGATATACAAGTGGCCCATCAAATCTACTTAGGCCCAAATAAAGAAGGCTTAATTGTAACATCTGCGCCGCTTCTTTCTTTTCTTTTTTCTCTGGGGAAGAAGGAATTTTCACATTGTTCGCTTAGGTGAGAGAGATGGAGATATACTACGTAATAAGTAGTACTCCCTCTCTCAAAATATTTTCAATTTTCCCTTTTTGTCCGTCCAAAAAAGAATTTCACTTTCCCTTTTTGTCAAAAAATTTGTGATTCACAGTAATTCTTACACATTTCTCTCTCTTATGCCCAACTCTCCATCACGCATTTTCCACTTTCTTAATCTATGTGTCATTTGTGATGTATTAAAAATTTTGTTACACTATCTTTTTCGGTAAGTTTTTCCCTTAAAAATATTTAATTAATATTACTTTTTCTACATTTTATCTTTTTTTCCCACTTTTTACATTCTCTCCTATTTTTTCTACACTATTCATTACTCCTACTATAGAGATCTTTTAAATACGGAGGGAATACATTTTTTAGGAAGATTATTATGCTCTATTATTTGATAATTATTAATGCATTCTTACATTATCAAACACCAATTAGTTACTCTCTTATTTTAGATCCTTTCCATTCTTTGTCCATTGAAGTTAATATTTGTTAAATAAAAATTTGTCTATAAAATTAATTTTTAAAGTAAAAACACTGATTATTATCATAAATATAAGTCGTCGTTGTTGATCATTATGTTTTTACTTAGTTACTCTATCGTGGAATAAATATTATAGAGAGGGGGGTTAAAGAAAAATACTTACGAGTAAGATATAAAATATCATGAATTTTAATATTTTTATTTTAAAAATTAAATATCATTTAATCTTATAAAACTAATAAACTTTTTACTGTAAAAAAAATTGTGTGAAAATAAAATCATCACAAATTAGTAACAGAGTTAATTATTTTTTTAAATAAAACAAAATCTATGATAATTTAGGTTTCAGATGGATGACTTTCAATTATTCAGGTCCTATATCGATACATTCTATCTTTTAGGCCCCTTATTGATATTAGACTTATCTTTTAGGTCATGAAATGATAAAATTCATTTTTTCTTGCTATTTCTTCTTTGCTACACACGAAAGAAATGTCATTGATATTAATTCTACCGGATGAATAACAAATAAGACTTTTATATTCATGATGAAGAAGTGCCTAGAATTTTGATAACACATTTTTAAACAACTTTCTTTGATATATCACATGAATATTACTCGTGAGTCTGTCCCCTTAACTACTTTCATTCATCGTTATTCCACGATCGAGTGGCTAAGTAGAAAAATAGCGATCAATAATAATGACTTATAATTATGATAACAAATTATATTATACTTGAAAAAATAATTTTACAATTTTGGGAGGAGTGACCACATACTCAAGTAAGAGCACAATGTAGTGGTTAAAATTTTAAGAATGTTTTCACATGAATCAATTTTAGCAATAGGTCTAATTAAAGTAGTCTAGAATAGGTTAATGAGACTTGTCTAGACTTAGAGTAATGAGATCATATAATCCGCACAGAATGGGGATGGACGGGGCCTGGGTGGCCCGACCCAGGATCAACATACCCGGGCCGGTACCGGGCTCCAATTTTCTAGCTAGTATTGGTATCGACACAGCCTGACCCGAGTCCACCCCTAGCACAGAATATATTAAACCACACTTGGACAATTGTAAAATACACATAACATCAAATTCCCATAACTAATTAAAACCGGACTTATTTAAATAATCATATTATTTTAGATTTAAACATATCAGACCAAATTAGATCAGCACAAAATAGTTATATTAAATTTAATTTAAGAAATATTAACGTGAGGGGGTATATAGTGACAATGATCAAATCTCAAGGGGTAACTAATTGATTTTTGAAAATACAAGGCAGCGTTAATAATTACGACATAATCTCAGGGAGCTAATAATAATTTTCCCTTTTATTTATTTATTTCTATTTTATACTTCGTAGATACTGAGCAATCAAAACCAAGTAAAAGATTTGAAAGCATTAATCACGTTTAGTTTTCTTTACATTTTTGCACTTCTTTTTACCAATAGTAGCAGCTTGTGTTTTTCCATTTCTAATCACCCAATTGCCTGAAGAAGCTTCACTTGCATTTGGTCTGCAGAAGAACCTAAAAAAGCCTCAAAGCTACCCAGAAAATTGATTCAGAGAACAGCATTCTTCATAGATTCACTTCAAATGGTTAATGAACTTACGTAATAAGGTTAACATCCAGTACATAAAATTGAGTCTTGAAATCATGTACTGACCATTTGTATCACACTTCCCAATGCACCAAGAGAATCAAAGATATAGACAAGACTATCTCTTATGTTTGTACAAAGATATAGACAAGACTATCTCTTATGTTTGTACAGACAATAGATTTTAAACCACACTTATACACATAATTAGGTCTAAACGAGCCTACAACTTAGTAGCTAGACACCACCAAGATTTTATTTTCTTTTCAAGCAACAAGATGAAGTCTCATTGCATCCCATTTGGACTTCAAACTCTCCATCTTTTTGTTGGCGCCATCCACCTCAGCCTCTCTTCCTTCAATAGTGCAAGCCTGCTCCTCAACAAGATCACACACTTTCTTAGTCTGTTTCGACACTTCTCCTCTTTCCACCTTTAGTTGCCGAATATCGCTTTCTATTTTTTCGAGCTCAGCTTTCAATTCCTTTTCCCTCCTAACTAGCCCCTCCACTTTACTCTTTATCCCTTCATCCGTTTTCACTAAATCCTCCAGCAAGCGCTTCGTCTTCTCAAAAGTAGTCCAAAGATGCTCACTGACCCCCTTTATTTTACTCAATTCCCTCCATTCCCTCATCATCTGAGGAAAAGAATCACTCAAGCTCAAAATCTCTTCAGCCTGCCCATTGCTGAACAAAGAAAGATTGTTAGCGAGTATGGAGAGTGACTCCAACATTGCAGCTTCATGCTGTGGATCAGCCAAGTCCTCCAAAGGGTATGCTTTCAGCTTGTCAAAGATTTCTTTTGCAGAAGTTGCATTGTCTTTAAACAAACGAACTTCACATGGAATAGCACCGGATCCTAAGCTGGACATTGACTTGGGTAGTGACTTGAGAACAGATTGAACCCGGGAGTACACAGATTCAACAGGATCAATAACAGCAGAAGAAGAATCAATAGCCTGATCAATCCCAAAAAGAAAAAGAAGAATCATTCACATTTAGAAAAATTATATAATTAAAATACAACTCAGAGTCAAAAAAATACAAGTACATGGTCACTCTGTTTGTTTACATGCTGTAAAGCCTCATCACTCTGGATTAAGGCATTTATATTTTTAACCTGCTCATCGCATTGCTTTGTATCATCTTCACTCTTTTCCACATAAACCTCATCACTAAGAGTAGTGACATTAACAATGTTAATCTGCATATTATGTTCAACTTCAGAATTGGGGCAGATAATTAAATATTTTGGTTGATCAATAATCTAGTCAACCAACCTATGATAATGTCATTTACCTCTCTTTCTTGTGCTAACTCATTAATTTGATCTGATGCCTCTTCAATCTCCTCAATTTCAGAATATGGTTCCTAGATAGATAATAGTAAAGTGAATGTTAACGCTTTCTTTAACAAATAGTGGTCGACCAAAGTTTCATTGACCATAATTACATTTTGACATATTTTTTTTGGTCGAACGACGAACATAAAGTAATTTACATCTTTTTTTTCTTGTGACACATTATTATTCTCCCCTGCTACTTCCTCACCCTCCTCCATATTAACATCTTGTAGAACCACCTTAATCAGGGCTGCAGCATCTTGTTGAACACCAAGTTCAACCTGCAAACAATATATATATATAACAATATATATATATATATATAACACATGTTTAATAATCCCCAACCTCATTACCATGTGTCTTAAGGTAGACCGATAACTATAATTGATCATTTACCTCTTGCTCTTGATACTCATTAACAGCCTCATCCTCAACATTTTCCTCTTTCTCCTCTTCACATTTTTTATCAATATATGATTGTACAGAATTTTCATTAACAGGAAACTGAGTGGACATAGATGCCTCTTTAGTGTGATGAAACGGAGAGAAAGGCATGTGTGCGGCATGAGGAGATGCAGTAGAAGTCTGTGTGGTCTCAGTTTGAGTGGGAGAAACTTGATTTCTTTCACATTCTTCATCTTTCTTCTTCCTCTCCACCTTATCAATTTTCTTCCTTAACACCTTCACCTTTTTAGAAGACCGTTTCTCCTTGGCATGATCCTTCACCTCACTTAACTTCCTTTTGCAGGAGACTGGAATAGAGATTAAATTTTGCTCTAATGCTTTGACATATCTATCCAGCTCGGCACTCGAGTGAGTATCTTCTATGTGCCTTAAGTTCATCATCCAAGTAGAACCAACCTCCATAGAGTCAGGTAGGAGTATACTTTGCACCCTCTGTAACAAAAAATCATTTTAGTTGTTTTCCACAAAATATAAGATCGACCAAATAGACGAAATATTGGTCGACTGTATACTTGTTGACCAAGTTGACTGAATATTGGTCAACCATATACAAGCTGACCAAGTGTTGGTCGACCATAAAAACTCATCCAAGTTACCATTTATTTGTCGACCAAATGTTAGTCAACCACAAAAAGTTGAACCGATACATGATACCGGAGCCAAAAGGAAAAGAAGATAAAAAGATGAGCTATAATAAAAAAGATAATATAAATAGGGATACGATATACATATATATATATATATATATATATATATATATATATATATATAAAGGATAAAAAACATACGACAGAAAAGAAGATGAGGGGAAAAAGAAAAAAAGTTGACCAAGTTACTAATAATAGAAAAATCACTTACTTTTGTTGATTCCACAGCTTCTTTAACATGTCTGTTAAAGATTTTTGTTTTTGTCTTGTGCGTCCACAAACATAACCGTGGCCTAACAGGAATACTTTGAGACGTTCTAACGGCAAACTTTTGAGCAAAATCGGGGGCGCATTCCATAAGCAATATCTATTCAAATAAAAGTAGAAAAAAATGATGAAATACTATAACAAATTATAGTAGAATTTGAAAATGGTATCAACAAAGGTCCTTAGTTCCTTACCGATATGGGGATTAAAAATCCTGTGTAATTTAATGTTGGTGACATATCATTATTATGGATTCCTTTAAGCTTTGCATCCAAATTCTTTCTCAATGAAACCAAGGATTCTCTAAACGCCCACGTACCCCATGGAAAGTCTTCTTCTTTTTTTGCCCCTATTTTTTCAATTATCCATTCCGGAATGGAAGCTTTTCTCTTTGAAGGAGCTAGAAGAACCATGACTACAAACATGAGCTTTGCTAGTCTCAACACTTCTTCATGAGCTTCCTTTTTCAAAGCTTCATCTGTGTGCTTCAAATTTTTGCATAATTGCACAAATCTTTCTTGAACTGCGTCATAGCTTACAATTCCATCAAAGTGTTTCTCAATGAATTCAGATTTCGCATCCTCATCACAATTCTCTTCATAACTCTCCACATCAAGGGAGCTACAGTTAAGCCCACTAATCAAAGCAAACTCTGTGATAGAGTAGCGGATTGGCACTCCATTCACGGCAAACCAAGCACCCAAATTCCTTTCAATTGTGGCTATTTTGGACAACATTGGCCACAACAATGATGGAACAGGGATGAAATTAATATCCAAATATGCACCAAAAACACATCTTCTAAATGCATACATTATCTCTGGAAATTCTTTAAGCCATTTTTTCATTATCTTTTGAAAAGCCTTCAATGCGTTCCTTATAGTTATCTTCATTGTGGGAAAACTTGAGTCGTCAACTAATGGAGACAAGGAAGGGACCTTCATGATAAATAAAAAGTAATTAAGTACCGGTCAACTAAAAACAATTTGAACAACGTTGAACAATAAAAAATAAATTAACAAACTTTAAAATAAAAAATTAAATAATTATGAATGACCCCCTCTACATTTACAAAATAATCAAACAAAAATTACTAAAGATAAATCCTTTCCCTTAATGGTTGACTAAGTTTACATCGAGAACTCAGAGATTTCGAATGAGCAAAGTATCTACTAGGAATTCTCAAGTTAATCCAACATAAAAACCATAAGTAAAATTTACCTGAATATCATATTCTGCTTCAGACACATGCGTAACAACTGATGCCTGTACAACTATCCCACTTGCTTGACTTTTCTCTAAAGAAATAGTAGGACGTTTAGACATGGTAAAGGAAGGAGATGGAAGAATGCTACTCTCTGGTGGCTGTTGTTGAAGGAGAAAACGAAACCGAGCTCTGTACGAAGGAAGTGGAAGAACTGAAAGGTTGTACGGGGAGTCTGAAGTTCAAGATGTTTGCGCCAAGGTGTTTGTCATTTTTTTAAATTCGAAATTGTCTTTTACTAGTACCTGTTGATGTACTTTGTTTTTGAATCTATATGCTACGGTTTTGTTTGCAAACAATTAATATAAGTACTTTTGGTTTTTTTTAAGAAAAAAGTACTTATTTTATCAAACAATACCAATTTTTACTTTCTCGTTTTTCGTGTAGAATCTACTTTTTACTTTTTCTTTTACACAAAAAACACTTATTTTACAAAACACTACCAACTTTTACTACTAACTACTTTTTCCCAAAAAGTGCTTTTATTTAAGCACAATCACTTTCAAACAGAGTCTACATAAATTCTAAATGCTTCAAGTTTACACATTTACTCGTAGGGCCGGATCCTAAAAATTGAAAATTGAAAACCAAATCAAATTATATCGAATTGTAGCCAAATAAAATTGAATCGCTTACAAATCAAAACCGAATGTAAAAACCGAACCGAATCGTAGTTGTTTGGTTAGGTTTTGGGTTTTAACCTTCAAAACCGAACCGAACAAACCGAACTAATTAAAATATATTCCGTAAAATTTATTTGTCAATTCTTAAGCATTAATCCTAACTAATCCTAATATCATTAATAGTATATGATTTTCTTGTGTTAGAGAAATAATGTTTGTGTTATGTTTAGTTTAGTTTAGTTTATAAATTCATTTACACATTCATTGCCTGTAATAATGTAGCTATACTGAATGATGATAATATGTTTTTACTTGTTATTAGTATTAATTAACTTTTATTTTTATTTAACTTAAATAATTCATATTGATGAAACCATAAATATTCATGTCAACTATATCACATAGAACGTATATACTCATGAACTTTTTTGAATCAGTCACAAACAATGTAAATTAATACTGTAATACATATACTTTTATCTCTCTCGCATATACTCATATAATTCAAGACATATTTATTTATTTTCATTTTTATTTTATTTGTTGTAGTGTGCGTGCATTCTTTATGTAATATGTTTGATCCTCAAAGTATTATATTATATCAATTTTAAATCAAATCATAATATTTTGGTAAAAACTTGAAAAAACCGAAACCGAATCGAAACAAACCGAACAAATCAAACCGTGATTCCAAGTTTTGGAGTGTAAAACCAGGGGCGGATCCAAATATTTGATATGCCCTGGGCTGAATAGAAATTATACTAGGTTTAAATATTAGAGGAGGGGACAAAATTTGAAAAATGAAAAAATGGGGATGTTCGCCAAAGTTTCATTTGTTTGCAACTTTGGCGATCAACAGCCAGTAATAAATTACAGGGACGACTAGATTAAAGTTGAGTAATATATATTCATTCTAGAGGCTCATGATAATTGAGAGAATGATATATATTCTATTTGGTCTGGTAAATGAAATTTCATTAAAACTGCCTGAGAATTACAACTTTTGGCATCAAGTGTACACTTTAAGACATAAAAGGATGACCTCCCACATGAGTGAGGTCACCCCACAAAATTATACACTCTAGATAGCCTTGGAGTGGCCGGTGTGATAGGGAAGCATGGGGAGGTGTTTGAAGTGAAGGTTATGGCATCAAATAAAACACGGTGGCCAATCCACATCAAACAAGAGAGATGGACTCTCAAATCATCTTCTCCATTGTTAGTAGCAAGCTCAAACAAGGAAAAGGTTGTACAACATGTTTAGAGGTGTAGAATGGAGGGTTGGAAGGTGGTTCTAAATCCAAGAACAGATTTAAAAGTCAAAAGTTACCAGTTCACTGAAGAATAACCTTTTTGAGGTTATTTGTATTGATTTAGGTTTTGGGATGATGAAACCTTGTCAGTGACTTGTCAAGGTATTTCTAGTGTTCTCACGGAGATGAGGAAGTTGCTGGAGGTATATCCGGAGTTCACCAAAGTTCGCCGGAGTTTCACCAGAGGCCAACTAGAGGGATAAAACTTCTTAAAGCTCATTTAAGGCGAATCGGGTTTTACCAGATTTAATGTCTTATAACTCTTGGGAGTGTACAACATGCATGGTTTGCATGGGCTATTGTGTTTAAGTGTTAAGACTTGGACTAGTCTTTATTTATGATATGATGTAGACCATAGTCAAGTAAGGTATATGGTTGATCATAGGTTTAGGTAGAGTACCCCGGGGCAAGACGGTGTCCTTAAAACTCATAGGTTTGGGTGGAGTACCCTGGGATCCGACGGTGTCCTTAAAACTCGGAAATCATGAGTGGAGTACCTAGAGTCGGGCGGTGTCCTCAAACTTGGGAATTGGATGGAGTACCCTGAGATCGGGTGGTATCCTTAAAACTTATAATTACCGGGAGAGTGGGCTGATGGCTGAGTAAGACTATCTTTTTTTAAGTAGAAATTTATTAAAATTTTAGTACGAAGAGTACAAAATGATGATGAAAGAAACAAAAATGCTATGCTACGCTAATGAGTGAACAATCTAAAAGCCCCGCAAATCCCTAAAGTAAAAAAGATTAGCTTCCCGTCAAGTTGTATTGAGTTGCTTGAAAGAGATGAAATCCCTAAAATATCCAAAAGCTAAATCAGTAAATATAGAAGCAACCCTATGTTTCAGCCAAATTTTTAGCCTTGAGACGAGCACTCCGTCGAGGTAGCAATCTAGAACTGGCTGAGTCCCATTCAGTATCAACAACACGGTCTAGTAATCCACGATCAGAACTGGCTGAGTAAGACTATCAACACTCAATGGTATAATAAACCCTAGGTTATAGCAGGAGAGCTAAATACCGAGTTGGATATGGGGACGGGAAAGTCAAGAACTAAGTCCGCCATGATTTTGTTGTTGTTTTTGTTATTGTAATCAAATGACCTATAGGTCAGGTATTTTCCAAGTGTCTATACTTATTTGTATTCAAAGAGTTGGAGAAACTATATGTTTATGTACCACAAATGTTTGGATCTTATACTTAAATGTTAGTTATTCTACATTTAGCTTGCGTCTCGCCAGTACGAGTGTACTGATCACTTGTTATCCGCACCTTTGCACGGGTAAAGTGATCTCAAAGAAGACATGATTCGTATGTCCTTGATTAATTTAAGGATTATAACAAAGCTCATGAATATTTGTACTTGAAATACTTTATTTTGGGCGTGTAAGCTAACATTTTGTCGTATGTGGCGTATGATCAAACATCGAATATTTCCGCTCTTCATTTGGTTTAAATATTGATATCGTTATGTATGTTTACTTACTAGTATTTTGTGCAACTAGTTAATCCACCCGTGCGTTGCACGGGAGTGAAACGCATGAGAGTGAAGTACTGTATAGAAGTTTAGATGCATTTAATAAAAGTAAATAATAATAATGAATTAATTAGTTGATCACCTTTAAAATTAAGGTGTTGGGTAATTCATATTGAATTGAAAATTAACAAATAATGCTCGAATGGATACACTCCTCGTGTTCTTTTTTGTTGTAAAGTTTTCAATTTCATGTTTCCCAACACACAATTATAAGTATCAATGTATTTCATTCGTTATTGGTGAAAATTTTAAAAAGTACATTTTGACAATTTAACATGAGGGTAGTTTAATAGTATTTTTCAGAAATTAAAATTTTAATACATTAATAAAAAAATATTAAATAAAATAGATAAAAGTAGAACATGTGCATAGTGTAAAACTAAACATGTTGCAACCATTTAAAACCATTTAAGAACAGAGAAACACGTAAAGAACCATCATTCTATTTGTCTTTTTTTAATTGATCTCAAGATGACAATCCGTGTTTCTTTTGCATAATTGACCGTAAAATGAAATTTACAATGTAAATGGTTGCTACGAAATTGGAAACTCTTGGCTATTTTTATTTTTTTCTACACTTCCTCAAAGTGCAAACAACATAAACATCAACAAAGGAAAAGCCCATGGAATTATCACAAATTCAATGTGGAAAGTGCATATAATAGAAATACATTTAAGCACCAAAGTGAGGCAAGCTTTGACTTAGGTGTATCTAAAGCATGATTCCCATGTTTATCAAATTAGCCATACACAATCAACGCTTTGAATCCTAAATCAGAACACAGTTCAGAAGAAGAATGTAAGATTGGTGACACAAACATAGCTTCAAATTAAAGACATTCTAATATAATTTGGGCAGCCTAGATTAGTGATGCTTGAATGGAACAAATGAGGCAGAAATGGTATCTTTGCATCTGACTTTCAAGGTGGCGTTGTCTAACCACATTTTTTCAGGAGTACCAACCAATCTTCAAGTAAACTTAGATGCTGCAAAAAGTTAATAAAATAGATATCAATCAGCTAATACATTAAAAACCCTCATAGAGCCCGTTTGGTAGCACGAAAATTGACTGATTTGGCTGATTCTGCTGAAAATTATAAAATTCTGGCTGAAATGGCTGCATTGGCTGATTTAAGAAAAAAATTATTTCCAAAATATATATTATTAATAAAATAAAGAACAAAATATATGTAAAAATAGCTAAAAAGATCATCTACAGTAACTTCAGCCAATATGGCCAGAAAAGTAACTACAACCTTACTTTTTCTGCTTATTACACAATTAAGCGCGCGAAAGCAAAAATTACGTGTTTGGTGAAAAAGTTGGCTGATAAGCCTGATAAGCAGAAAAAAGTGTTTCCAAACGGCACCATAGTCTAATAGCAAAAAAGGCCAATACATTAGAAATAGTCATAGCCTAATAGCTAGAAATAATATCCTCATAGTTAATTAGGATTTGAGTTTAAAATTTGACTGTAAAAGCCATATTAGCTATTCCTATAATAGCTATATAGAAATTTCAATCTTCATAGAATCACAATGCTTAGACTCTACTTAATTAGGATTTGAGTTTCCCTCCTAAATCCTCACCCCCTCCATGGCTCCATCTATGTTATCATTAGTTTTCTTAAATCACCTATTTTATTTTAAAAACTTGTTTTTTATATTGACATGAAAGAATGTTCAAGCAACCAACCTAGGAAAAAATAATAGGAATAATAAGCCAGTTACTTCTCTGATTCAACC